TCTATCTATCTATCTATCTATCTATCTATCTATCTATCTATCTATCTATCTATCTATCTATCTATCTATCTATCTATCTATCTATCTATCTATCTATCTTTCTATCTATCTATCTATCTATCTATCTATCTATCTATCTATCTATCTATCTATCTATCTATCTATCTATCTATCTATCTATCTATCTATCTATCTATCTATCTACATATCTATCTGTTTATATATACATATATATATATATATATATATATATATGTATATGGATGTATACTGATGATTTTTCTGTATATCCGTGCATAAATTGATTTTTTATTTGACATAAAGAATATTTATGCTAAAAATGAATACCCACAAAAGGATCTAAAGGAGAAAAAATAATAATACCTTTATACAATGAAAATCCTTCTCTACATTTAATATGCGGCTTTCGTTAAAACTATTTACGTACAACTTACCAGCAAATGAACAGGATTACTCCAACTGAAATAATTACTATGATGGAAATGGTACTTGCAACTATTGCTATAATTTTGTTGTTGTTGTTATCATCAATGACGTTTTCGTCTGAAAGAGTGAATTATTAGATTGAAATTGTTATTATATCTTAACGTTTAAAAAAATAGATGTGAAAATCATATACCTGCATTAATTTAAACAATTTTTTTATGAAACTTAATTAACATAAAAGAGTATTTCAGCGCACAAAAAGCTACCCTTACAACTTGTAATATATTTATAATTGCTAATAATCATTTTTTTAAAGATACTTTTTTTTTTTTAAGACTTTGATGCTAACACTTTACGGATTACTCTATACAATACAATGTCGATTTTCGAGATGGTGGTAGTTATTGATATCAAATTAAAGCATTATCGTATTTAATTTTGCAGATGCATGTGTATTTTCTTTTTTCAAATATGATAAATATGTCTGAAAATATGATTTATTTTAATAGAATGGGTAAGTTATTGACAACACAAAATTTTATTTTTTCATGAATTGATGATTTTAAAAAAAAAACAAGACCTCCCCTGCTATTTGTCTCATGAAATTAACAGCATCTTTTAAAAATTGATGGGAGATTGTGATTTTAAAAAAGTGTCCTAATATTTTTTTTATAATTCATTTATTAAAATTCTGGTATTACAAATATTCATGATATTCAAAGAAACACAAGTTTTTTGGGAAATAGATCAATTAAACCTAATATTAGATCAAATGAAGATATTTAAACTTAAAATGTAACTATTAAAACAATGAATCTGATTACATTGAATTTGAAATGAAGTTGAAATACATGTGTCTAAAATACGAAATTGTAGTTTCTTTGAAACATCTAATACCACGTTCAGCCAGAATAGGTCAGACATAAAACGTAAAGATATTTATTGAATAATTATTCTTTTTCGGATAAACGTGAAGACATAGAAAATGTTCATTTATCTTTATATTAATTGTGTCTAAGTAGTGTAACACTGCATGCTTTTTTAATTCGACAATCGTTTTTTTTTTGTTTGTTGTTTTTTCAGTTTTTTCTCTTCTGTTTTTTTTGTTTTGCAAACCATTGCAAACCAGACTCGTCTTAATCAAACAACCTTTTGGGTAGAGGGATATTTGTTCTCAGTGTAGATGAACAAAGAAAAAAAGCCATATGGAGTGCGCTCTTTTGAAGCGATAGCACCAAAAAATATGCAACAGCTTGCCCCAATCTCTGAGGGACATTAAAAATGATAAAAATCATTTAAGAAACATCTTATGATTTAAAAAAAAAAAGATTTAAGAACATCAAAGCGAAGTGAGCATGTTAAAGTAGCATGGATACAAGCACTATATAAATACTAAATTCAATTCAATTCAATTTAAGAAGAACATAAAGTGAGGGATTCATGTTATAGGCGGGAAAAGTTTACGCGAATTTTAAGAGAAGTGAGTGGAGTACAGATTTTCGATCAGACTAGATGCGTAAAATTAAGGAATGTCTAAGACAGGAGTCTCAAACTCGCCTCCTACAAGACGATATTTAGCGACCCGTTACCTGACAGCAAAGTTTAGTATTAACGCCGTCTGTACGTTGTCCACATTCTAGTATCTATAACGTAAATCTCCGCGAAGGTTTCAGACGAATACCACCGAATACTCTAATTCTGATTTTCATTTATTTTTAAATAAATACATATAGGTTTTGAAGTATGTTATAATGGCAAAAACCGTTTTAAAATCGGACTAAAATGTTTTATTTGATAGCATGTTAAAATATAAACATCGCCAAAGTACGGTTTTGATAAAACACGCTTCGAACTATGTAAAGCCTAGCAATCTGACACAGTATCAAACAATCCTTATTAAAATTACCGCTAGTGTGTACTAGTGACAAGTGACTGAGTTACGAGCCTGTAAGCCTGGTCAGGTGAAACATGATTTGATGTTACCCAATGGTGGGAAAATATATGTTATCAAACAGTGCAAATAAATATTTGTGTCACCAGACCCTACTCATGTCTTTCTCAAAACCTGCTGTGAAGAGAACGGTTGGCGTGAAGCGCAAACAATTTCAGGATGAGTGGGAGACGGACTATTGCTTTGATGAGCACATGGGCATTTCCACGGGTCTTATTTGCAACGAGAAATTTGCGGTGCACAACGAGTACAACATCTGGCATCATTATTTAACCAGACATGCTGAGGAGTATACACAATAACATGGAGACAAGGAAGAGGCCCGGGTTGCTTATCTTAAAACATGTAAACTGAGGCAGCATGAATTTTTCCAAGAAATTAAACAAAGAAAGTGATGCAGCATTTGAAGCTAGTTATGTGGCGAGTGAGATGGCGAGTTTATCAAAAATTATATGTTACAAGCTGCAAGTTTAGTCTATCCGGGAAATAATGGTCGATCCAGCAACTTCAGCCTTTCTGGCAACACAGTGGCAGAGTGCATTTCTGAGCTGTCAGGTGACATTTCTGATGAATTGTGCGAGAAAGATAAACATTGTCATGCATTGTCAGGCGCTCTTGGTGAGAGCTTAGATGTTACTTACACTGCACAGCTGGCAAAATATGCCCGTGGTGTTGATGACTATTTTGAATTAACGGAGGTGTTGCTCAAAGTGATTCCAATGCATGTCCAGACCAATGATTGGGGGATAATCTGCCATCTGTGTAATTCCATTGTGGATGCCGGTTTACAGTGGAACAATTCTGCAGAAATAACAATCGACAGAGCGCCATCAATGACAGGGGTAATACATGGACTCGTGGCACATGTTCAAAGAAAACTGAAATAGGAAGGTGTGGAAGAGGCATTGTCACTACACTGCATTATCCCTCAGCAGGAGTTTTGCAGCAAGTGCCAGAAATTTGACAATGATATGTCTGACGTTGTGAAATGCATCCACCATATCGGATCCATGGACTAGAAGCACTGTCAGTTCCGTGCCTTTTTACAGGAAATAGAGTCAGCACATTAGGATAGTATCTACTTCACAGAGGTACGTAGGCTTTAATGGAAAACGTCTTGAAAAAGATTTGTTGAGTTGAGAGCAGAAATCAAAAACTTTCATGGAGAAGGATAGGGTGGTTGTTCCTGTACTAAATAATCCCAAAGGGCTTATGGACTTTGCTTTTCTTGTTGACATTGCACGGGATATTCTGCACAAAATGTGTGTTTTGAAATTCCCAGCTCTCTGAGAGAAATCTCTGCCATTTTCCATTTTCCAAATTGCAAAATGCTCATTGACTCAGGCACACCAATCAGTATGCCATTGAATAGCTATAGGAAGAATTAGGTCACAGGTTTACAGACTTCAAAACACACAGAGCCACTTTTCACATTTTTTTCCGACTTTTTCTCATTCAATATGGTAAATGCCCCTCCCAAGCACTTCAAATGGAGCTGATTGAACTTCAGTGCAATTCTGAAATCTAGGCTAAGTTCAGGGAGGTGAATAGGAAAACATACAAGCTTGGGCAAATTAATGAGAGAATTGCCCTCCAGCTTCCCAGGGACACCACGGTTGTTCAAGTGGATAATGTGCATTTGTAAGAGCACCTATTTGTATGAAAATCTCTTTTCCACTATGAACTTTAACAAGTCAAAGTTTAATGCAAAACTTACTGATGAGCATATTCAAGCTATACTGAGTTTCTCAGTTGCTTCCTCTTTCAAGCCACATGTTTCTCAGCTTTGTAAGAAGAAGCGCTGCCAAGTCTCTGGCAACAAGGAGAAAAAGAAAGTAAGTGAAGCCTAGTTCATGAGACCCCTTAATTTTTTATTTGTTATGAAAAAGTTTGAGCAGATTATAACAGCTGTACTTGAATCGGTAACAACTTTTTTGTTTTAATTACTTAATGCAGGCCCAGGTTCACTGAGACACTTCCTTCTGCAGCCACCGGCTAATTTGAGTTTGAGACCCCTGATCTAGCAAGTGCTCCCTTATATATTTTAAGATGCCTACCATGTTATATTTCGCTTATCATTAGTGTTATTATTAAAAGGGTTATGTGTTGGGTTTCATATAAACAACGTGTATAAATTGATATTTCATTATAAAGAAGTGACAGTATCAGCTGATTTAAAATCTACAATTTAGATAACTATCGTTATTATGAATCACACACACAACCAAGATACATAGGTACACATATTAAGGGATAAATTAAAGCCAATTTTTCTAGACCTTTCTCATCTAAGTATTTTTAGGAAATGTCAAGACGGTTATATCCAAAATTGGAACGAATAGATATTTTAATTTGGAAAATGTGCCTAAAGAACAAATTTCATGATTTAAGAGATATTATCACAGGTATTGGATTATCAACCCTTCTTTTCAATGATGGATCCAAATCATTGGAGGCTTGTCTAAGACTTTTGAAGATGACCTTTGGTCACTTTACATCGGACTTTTTCAATACGGATCTCGAAGGCAGATAAACAGTTGACCGAGTAATTGAAGAGGCTAAAAAGTCAGAAGAAGGTCTAGAATAAATTAAGAAATGTATCAAAAGTTGATGCTAAATTTCATCCTTATTTTTCAGGGTGTTCAAGACTTCTATCTTTTTATGAACAAAATTATTTCATCTCTGTTTGAAAAAATGTCCATGTAAAGTTGACATATTTAAATTTTTTTTTTTTAATTTAAAAAGATTGTACACATATAGAATTCTGATGTATATATTACATTATTGTTTTTTTTCATATGGCGTGAACTAAATATATTACAATATATTAATTTATATAAATTTTGCAAAAAAATCTCAAAATTTAATATACATTGGGATGCTGCGAAACAACAACAACAAAAAAAAAAAAAAAAAAAAAAATAAAAAATTAAAAAAAAAAGGGAAAGAAAAAAAAAAAAAAAAAAAAAAAAAAAAAAAAAAAAAAAAAAAACCCAAAGAAATAATATTTTTACTAATCCAGGCTATAGCTAATTCACATTTTTGTTAATTTAAAAAAAAAATGTTACATTGGAAAAAAAAAACAAAAAAATTAAAAAAAATAAAAAAAACAAAAAAAAAAAAAAAAAAAAAAAAAAAAAAAAAAAAAAAAAAAACCCAAAGAAATAATATTTTTACTAATCCAGGCTATAGCTAATTCACATTTTTGTTAATTTAAAAAAAAAATGTTACATTGGAGCTTCAATTTTTAAAGAAAAAAAAAAGTATTTCATTTTGCCAGTCCATTTTTACGAATGAATGTTTTTTTTTTTCAACTGAAGAAAGTTATTATGTATATCTTCTTAATGGCAGTATTACGTATTATTTTAATGTAATGGCTATTCATCTAACTTCAGTGAAATGTGTAACCTTAATGATTTATTTTAAAGCAGTCGGTCTAAATTGTGTGTCTAAATCCCGTTAAGAAATGTAAGCTAAAAAATGTATAATAAATATATCGAAAGTGCTAACTGTTGTGTGAGTAATCTAACTGCTTTACCATTTCCTTCAAATCATCAAACAAATAATAGTTCATAATAAATTAAGTTTCCCCTTCCTATGAATAAAAAATACATACATTTTATATCGAAAATCTTCCAGCGAAGACGAAGTAATGATAAGACGTTCAATTAAATATTTTGCAGTTGATATATATAAATAGTTCACAGACATTAAAAAATTGAAAGACTATAAAAATAATAAAAATAATTTTTAAAAATAATTATAAAGATTTAGTACCCGTTTTTATAGTACAACTCATGTTGTTATAAAAATGTTCCAGGATGCATGCTGAAAATTGTATAGTAACATTAACTTCCTGGGAGCTTTCGAAGATGTGTTCATATGCAATATGATTTTCTTCTTCTTGCAACTCAACATTTTCATTAATTATTAATTGTATCATACAGGGTTTGGCCTGACTGATGCATTGAAACTCAATAGTTAAATATTTTCCAGCAATCGTTGTATTACAGTTTGATCCTGTGGCCATGTGAATGCCGTTTATTTTAAGTTGGCCACTTGCGTCAGTTGTATCTGGGAAAACAAAATGAAACGTATGTTTAAGTTGTACAACATATTATTCCACATATCCACCGATTCGCCTGTCAGTAAATTTGCTATGCTCATGCCCACCTATTCATCTATCATTCTTTACAATTGTACACCTATAAACCTAATCATGCATAAGTGTAGTTCCGAAATAAAATTAATCACTAATATAATTTATTATAAAAAAATAACCCTATGCACGCTCGGAATGACAAATATATTATTCAACACATAAAGGAATACCACTCCAAACGGGTCACTGATCTAACACTAAAATAGGCAGATTTGAGTTGATGCGCTGCTTATATTTTAATGATAATTAGCCGATATGAAATGCGAACTGATGTCTCCGCTCCTAAAGTTTCATCTCGCAAAAGTCAAATTTGTTTATAATTTTCTTTATTTTAATTATTTTTTGCTTACCATAAAATTTTGGGAATTCCTGGACACCGCTGACGACGTTGGGTTTATTAGGCGCTTTAATGTAAGCTCTGATTTTAGCTTCACTATATCTTGAGAGTTCATTTGCTTTAATGGTAATGCTAAACACATTCATGTTTATTTCTGTGCAATAAACATCAGCATTTTCTTTATATCCCTCACAATCAGATTTCATGTCTAAAGTCAGTAACTGAAAAGATAATGGTTTTCGCATTTTAATTTTGATCCAAGTGCTTGAAATGTGCCTACAGTTTTTACTGGAAACAAAAAGTGTAGAATTTTTTTTTTTTTTAAATTTGACACACATTGCTTTTAAATCTCTATATTAATGTGCATATAAAATATAAAAGCATAGAAAATTGTGGAAAATATATTTAAATATTTTTAAAAAAAAATAAAATCGTAACATATATATTTGATTACACTTCCATACCTACGGGTACATAAATCCCGACAAGACATTAATATAAATAGCCATATTATATTGTTTAGTGTTAGGTGCCTTGGTAATGAGTAATGACGGTCTCTTAGCTCTCAAATTCTTCCTTGAGACAAAACCTATACCCACCAACACTCTCCTCAGATTGGCGGAACTAGTCCTCAACCTCAATTCGTTTGAGTTTTGTGGCAATTCTTCGACCAAATCAGTGGTGTCGCTATGGGGACTAAAATGGCACCCAGTAATGCATGCTAGTTCATGGGGCACTTCGAACACATGGTCAATAGCAGCTATACTGGACGCCTCCCTACATTCTATAAGACGAACTTAGATGTCAGTGAGGAGTGAACTTGAACTGCTCATTAACTTTGTAGGCTCTCTTAACCCCTCCATTAAATTCACGTCTCTTGTCTCTGAGACCTCAGTCAAATTTTTTTGACATTACAGTCACTAGTCACAAAGACAACCTACTCACCTCTGCCTACTTTAAGCCCACTGACAGCCACAGCTATCTACTCTACTCTTCATCCCACCATAAATCCTGTAAATACTCTATTCCTTTCTCAGTTACTTCGTCTTCATCGACTTTGTCAGTCGGACGAGGACTTTTGTGAAAAAGCACTTGAGATGACATACTTTTTCCGCTGTAGTTCTTACCCGAGACAGTACTATCATCAGCCCTACAAAGTGTTAAGAATATTACCCGTGTAGATGCCTTCAGGTCAGGTCTGAGCGACAACGTTGACAGGACTAAACTTATTCTCACTAATCACCCTCACAATCTGATAGCTAAACGTGTTTTTCTTTATAAACCGCTCTATACTACACGCAGACACCGACACACGAGAAATTTTCTCTTCCCACCTCTTATTGTTTTCAGACGGGATACGAATCTGAGAGACATCCTTGTGCGCAAACGTATCAAGTTGCCCCCTCCTACTTTGGGACCAAACCATGTGGACACAGCCGTTGCAACACTTGCCCTTTTGTTTTCCAGACTCAACACATACGCTTCCCTAAGGGCAGTTTTTAGATACGCGACGGTTTTCTTTGTACACGCCGCAACGTTGTCTACGCCATTATCTGCACCCGCTGCCAGATGACGTATATATTGGAGACTGGACGGGGACTCTCTGACAGGTGTATTGAACACCTCCGTAACATTACACAAAATTAACAGTGTCCCGTCTCCATACACTTTAATAGTAGCGACCACCAGGGCAAGACCGACTTTACAATAAGTGCGATCGTAGCTAACACAAACACACCCAGCCGGGTGAAGTGGGGGCACAATCTTATCCTGACTTATGGCCCATTGATGGGATAAATGTCTTGTCTCTTTTCACAGCTTAAACCTAGCTCCGTCCTTCCACTCCCGACCTATCGCAGTGGACTTACTTCTCCTCTTTTATTTCGCTCATCCCTATTAAAATCTCACTCACTTTCTGTCACATTTCTTCTTGTTCCCACTGATACGACTTCTAAGCTAAGTGTTATTTTTTAATTTTATTTCCATTTTTTTTTCTCTTGTTTTGTTCGCTGACGAAGGAAGGCTTTTTGCCGACACGTTCGTTGTTTTGTTGCGTTCATTTTTTCAGGTTGAACCTTACTTTGTTTTACTATATATATAGGTAATGAGTTTATTTTATAAAGACTTACATGAGTGTAAATGTTGCTCGAAGCCTCCATTAACTCAAAATGTAGAGATGATAAGTCTGGTAAAGTTTCTTTAAAGCTGACATCAAAGTTAAAACTGCATGAATCGAATATTTTTAAATAGCCACGTTTGCATTTGGTTGAACACTTCTCTGAACCCAGTTTAAAATATGATATTTCTTGAGCGTGCATCATATCTAAGAAATAGATCTTATAGTTAAAATTTAATGCATCAAAAAGATATATTTTCAGTAATATGTGTTTAAAATTTTATAATTATGTAAAATAATTTTAAAATAACTTAAAATATATTCAACACCTCAAATATATACCTTTTGTAAAGTAAATTAATTTAACTTGATATTTATTATATTAATGATTTTAGATGGTATGTGCAAAAATATTTTTTTTTTAAATTAACCTCTTTGTTTGCCAAGCTAAAGTAGAGACATTGCCGTGGGTTTGTAAAGGCGTATTTTAATTTGTATAAGGAATGTTCATAAAAGAAAAAGAGTGAATAATAATTTTTAAAATGTTTTTTAACTGGTTTCGTATCCCCCCACCTTTATAAACGTTTTACTTTATGTTCCTGTAGTAATGGACAAGTTAGATTTCTAATGTATAAAGTTATCTTTCGTAATAAATTAAATATGTTTACTGCAATTAATTTTTTTTTTTTTTAAATTCAACTATACAAGAGACAAAGATGGGAGTGCAAAGTTCACGATCTGCACTACGCATTGTTTTCGGCCAAAAGCAGACTTTCTTTTATTTTTATTTTTGATGAGGATGACAAGACATTTATTGCCTTCCCCCCCTCCCCACTACGACGCACACCCTAGTTACGCCACTGATTGCTTCTATTAAGACTACGCAATACATCCTCAAAACAGTTGTAGAGTTTGCGAGACCTAGTCAAACACTTTTAAGGAGTTCTGAATCTGGAATTTATTTGGTTTATTAATTATTGTAACTTTAAAGTGTAAATGCATGGATTTATAAAGTAAAAAAAAATATTTAAAATTTTTATAAATTAATTATGTCACACTTAAAATCTCTCGCTCTCTCTCTCTCTCTCTCTCTATATATATATATATATATATATATATATATATATTAAATACTTTAAATCTCTTTAGTATAAACATAGTCAACAAACGTACCCACGGTAGTTCCTACTACGACAATCATGAGAAAGAATATTGGCATTTTCATTGTGACACTTGGTTTAGAGTGGCCAACGTATAATTGATTTAACCTTTCCTCCTGGAACAAGAGGTCACATTCACCATACATTTTAATTTGTTAATGATGAAATAACAAATAAAACATCTAAATATTTGAAATATTATTAACATTCAATTCATTTCAAATCTTGGGACAAGGTTTGTAGAAACATAACAATAATGCACTGTTCATACTATAAAAGCGTCTTCATTGTACTTACATTATTAGTTTTTGATTAAAAATGTTGCCAGTAATAAAAACAAAAATGCAATCAGAAAGCTGAAGAAACATCATATCAGTCTAAGCATAATCGATATTGTTTAAGACAAGATAAACATTTATTTGTTTTTGTAATAATCATCTGATAATGGGAGAATAAACATGAACAAATATTTTCTCATAAGGAACCGTTTTGATATGAATGTTTTACTTTTATTTGTTACTTACGTAGAGTGTCTGAAAAATATTTATGAAGATAGTTTTAAAAAAGTAAAATAAAACATAGGAAATGGATCGTATTAATATAATAATAAATTACAAATAAATACTTTATTTGAGACCTGCTATATTGAAAAACAGAAATAGTTTTGTTTCATTACCTTCAGCTTATGTAGACACCGATCTCCACAAAACTACACGTGATTTCGGGAAAACCTTATCTCATTCCTATATTCTATGGAATGAAACTATTAACTCATTTTGCAATACAAGTTTCAACCTTAGTTATGTTATGTTACAACATGCTAAGTGTAAATGTAATAAAAACAAGGTATTGATTAAAACTGTGAACAATGTTATACAAAGTTTTTTGTTTTTTTTTAATACATATTCACCTCATTTCCATAATTTGAGCATTTTTTTTCAATATAAAATAAACCATTAATCAATGTTTATTTCTTACAAACCGTTAGTGAGACATAATGCAAAGTCTAAACACGAATGACAAGATAATCGTAAAGTCATTTTTAAGTAGCAAATTATGTTTTCATAGTATTACCCTATCTATAAGACAAAGAAAAGTAATACATTTTTCGCAGCTCTAAAACATTATTAGGTCGACAGGGATTGATACATTTGTAGGATGGTTTTACACCATCATCCTCTTCGTGCATGCCTCTTAAACGGGTAAGGAAGCATTGCACGCACAGAACCCCAAATCCAAGTAAGACGTAAGTAAAATCGTGATTTTCATGCTCAGCATGTTGGCAATAGTTCAGAGGTTGCTGCAACAGAACGAAGCACCATCTCACAAAATTGGAAACCATCGTCTTTTATAGATTCAGGAAATCATTATCACCACTGAACAAGTCATCAGGCCAGCTAATACTCCTGTTTGTGCTATTAAAGAGGAACTAAGAAAGGGAGAAGAAAAGCGTGTATTTTGGAGAAAAAAAATTCCCACCGGTGATAAGCTGTTTGCAAAGTAATTGAATCGAGAAAGTATTTGCATCGTTTATTGGCATAATAATCAATGAATGGCGCAAAGGTTTGAAAACAAATTAGAACACATTTAATTTAGCATAATATATTGTTGTTGACATTGTTCAGCAACAAATGCGCAAATAGAAAAAAAAAAAAAACTTAAAAATTATTATAATAAATAGATATACGTTATTTAACCATCTTACATTTTCTGGCCGAACCAGTATATATCGGGATTGAAGTCTCCCAATGGCGAAAACACTGGAAATAAATAAACAATCTCATATTTTTTAAACAAAACTTTTATCTTATATTGTACACAAATAGATTGATACAACAAAAGAGGGGTAAAGTATTTTCTTCAAACAAACTAAANATACAACAAAAGAGAGGTAAAGTATTTTCTTCAAACAAACAAAATTATATATGTATGTATATATATATATACATATATATATATATATATATATATATATATATATATATTATATATAAATATATATATACGTTCCATAGCAAATGCCGCCCACGAATCAAGGTCATTGTCACTGGTTTTGGTTTAATGCTGTTTATGGTTCAGTGGTCGGGTTGTTAAGAGTTTGTAAAATATACTTTTAATACACGGTATTCAAATTCATGGCGTTTAATCAATATGTAACATTTGATTTTGGTATCTATTTTGAAATTGAATAGACAGGACTAATAGCACTTTATGTTCATTGATTTCATTACCAGTCGCCACGGTGAGTGTTGACATTCAACTAAATGTTCATGAATGGAAGTGAGACGTATTTACATATATATATGTATATACTCATGTATGTGTGTGTGTACTTATTTAAAAAAAAAAAAAACTCAACGATCTCGTGTTAACCTCTGTCTTGTCTAGATATTACCTTGTCGTGATGCGCCCGTCAATACTTCGCTTGCTACACACAAACATAACCGTTGTCAAGTTGCATTATTAAAAAAAAAAATATCACAGTCATGAGCATAATCAATCCTGTGTAAGGGTAGTAAACTTATTCATCTTCTAAAGATGAGCGAGTCAAGTAGGGGTAGGGGCCTGTACTAGTGTTTGGGGCTTCGATTAGTGGAGCGAGAATTGTGGTGAGGGAAGGAAAAAGTCAAAAAATACGGAAAATAGTTAGGAATAAATGAAAATCAGTTGTTACGTTAATTTTAAACGTAAATTTATGAATGCGAAAACAGTTACGACTCCGAAAGGGAATGTGAAAAAAATTAATTTAAATTTTCATGTAAAAAAAAAAAAAAAAAAAAATTAAAGTTTATAGGTAAAAACACTTAGGACCTACATTACCTAATATCAACCTTTCATCAATTAACAAGGTGTAGTTGTTTTTTCTTTTTAAACGATTAAAATACAAATCATCCTTATCCCAAGCGTTTACAAATTACAAGGCAATCAGATGTATGATAATATTAACAATATTTTTAAAAACTTCGCTAATAAACTGTTATTGTAGGAAGTAAACGAACATGTTTACCGACATGGACTGAATCTCAAGGGCACAGCGTCATTGATTCAAATCAATAACATATGGCAGAGATCCAACGTATTTTGCTATACATGCAGTCTTAATGTTATAACAGCTGGCTCAATCGATATTTCAGTATATCTTTCCTTATTAGGTCTGTCTACTCTTCCTGTTTGCCCACATGTCATTCTCTTCGTATTCTATATATCAATCGATCGATATATCGATACATCGATCGATCCATCGATTTATCTATTAGTTATCTATCTATCTATCTATCTATCTATCTATCTATCTATCTATCTATCTATCTATCTATCTATCTATCTATCTATCTATCTATCTATCTATCTATCTATCTATCTATCTATCTATCTATCTATC